CATTGCTTTCCTTTCCAATTCACCTGCCTTTGTCCACAGTCTTGTCATTCTTTACCAAACAAAACCTTCAAATATTCTGCACAGCAGGCAGGGAAATGATAGTCAATGCAACATGCATGGGAATCCAAGTGAAGGTACTAATCTTTTGACTTTAATTATCTTTCAGTTTAAAGATACCAAGCAGATCTTTCAGATCTTACAAATATGCAAGCCTATTTATTTATTTAGTATCCCAGTTTTCTTCCCATATGTAACCCTAGATAGCTTACAATATAAGTTAAACCAAAGTATAGCTAATATATTTATAATATAAAAAAATCTAAAAAAAGAAAGAAAAGAAAACTGAATTAAAACATTTAAAACAGTTAAAAGTACATTCTAAGCATAGTAAAATTAAAAATACAGCAAATCTCCTTGAAACATCCACTAAAAAGGCTGTCTATTCACTGTATATCACTTGAAAGCAGTGCTTAAACAATGAATTCAATTTAAATATGGCATTAGACAAATAATCAGATGATCACCTGCTCCCAAATGAATGGCCTTAAGCCATTCAAAACCTCTGGTTTTGAGTCTCTGGTTTTCATGGACATCTCCATGAAGGAAAGGGCTGTTTTTTGACTCAAGAAACTTCAAGGTCTGGGATGAACTAAACCAGTAACCTTGGTAAGGGTTCTGTGGCTGAAAGCCCTTCACTTTCTTATGTCACTACTTGAAAAAAAGGGTGAGCATTTAATGAAGGCAAGAATAATAGCATTCGCTTAATAGTAGAGACAGACTTGGTGGCTCCTTGGTACAGTACCCTTCTTGTCCATGGTGGAAGCAGGCCTGGCACTATCTGAAGCATAGCTATCTTTCAACACACACATGCATATGCACTTCTCTGGGAATATGAAAAGGATTTTTGAATTCTTCTCTGTTTATATAGGCTCTCTTAACCCTAAAAGCAACAGATATTTTGTGATCTTGGAAGCTAAAGCATGGTCAGCCCTGGTTAGTGTAGATGGGAGACTGCCAATGAATACCAGCTGCTGTAGGCTATATTTCAGAAAAGGAAATGGCAAACCACCTATGAATATTCCTTGCCTGAGAAAGCCCTATGAAATTCATGGAGTCACCATAAGTTGACAAGTGACTTGAAGGCACACATAAACAAACACACATACATGCACGCACGCACGCACACACACCTCCTTGCCCCTTGAGTCTAAGAAACCTTTATCTATAATTCTTAAATTGATCAAATGAGTCTAGAAGAGGGTCTGAACTGAACCTTTCTTGTCCAGTTTCCAGGGGCCCATTTACATTGCAAATTTATAGCACTATTATTCCCCTTTAACTGCCAAGGTTCTGTCCTATAGGATCCTGGGATTTGTAGTCTGTTGAGCTACTAGAGCTCTTTGGCTGAGAATTCTAAATATTCCTCCCTACACTTTAAATCCCAGCATTCCATACAACAGAACAATGGCAGTCAAGGTGGGATAATAGTAGTATAACATGGACCTCTGCATTTGCACCTAGGCTTGTTCATTAGGTCTATAATGAAAATCAGTTGTGAAACTGAGGATCTCTGATAAAAAGCTCCCAACCCCATGCACATATCCCAGCATTCATTCACATTCAGTTTATTTTTTCCTTCCTCCCACTAATGCTTATAATTCTTAAATGATGTCAGTGTGCTCGTTTTGGAGGAACTGTAGAAGGGTACATTGACTTCTGCACACAGAGAGAGAAAATTGAAAACCCCTGGGAGGTTGCCAAAGTCAACCCATGCTATTATGCTAACAGCATCCTTGGCGTGACATTGACAGAGGAAAGACCATGTCCTAAATTAGATCACTTGATGTTACTGACTTGATTAAGAGTCCTTGTCTGCTGCATTGCAAACATCAGGTTGTGTTTTTTTAAAAACCAGTGCTCTGACAGTTCAGTCCATAACCTGGCTGAGCTGAAATACCGAATACCGGATGTGTAAAAAGACAGTGGAATGTGAAGCAAAGCATTGGAATGTGATACAAATTTGCTTTAAGACACATAAATGGTAGTAACCAATTATCTCCAGATTTTCTGAAAAAGTGAACTAAAAGACTATAATTCTATAGTTATATTTATATTCTGTACCTTTAGAAGATAAAAGTGAAATATAGATGTTAGAGGTAGCAGCCTTAGCATGCCTATACTCAATAAATAATAGTTTGCATGCCTATCTTAGACATGCAAGAAAGCCTTGCATGTATTCATGCCATTTCTTTTGTGTTGGTCTTAGCCTGCAACAGTTAATTTACAGTTAGCCTCACTTTGGTCCTCCTCACTTTTGTCCGCTCCATCTCCTCTATGTCTGAAGAGAGTATACAGTATTATTTTCTGGCTTATAAGACGACTTTTTAACCCCAGAAAATCTTCTCCAAAGTCGGGGGG